TTTGAAGTGTATGACTTTTTCTGCCATCAACTGGAAAGCACAGACATGCAGGCAAGATGAGCCTGGAAACCATACCATCGGGAACTCCTGGTATCTCTACGGTGTTGGGAGTGTTGCCCGCCCGCCCAGGTCGACTAGCGCACGCTGGTGAATTTTTACTGTATCGGTTTATTACATTACGTGGGATGGCAGTAATCAGAATTGATGGAAAGATAGGCTGCCAGAAAAAACAGAGTAGGACTGGGGCCAGTAAAACACCTCTAAACCCAGAGCCACGAATAATAAGTTACAAGGCTTGCTTTAAAGCATTAGGAACATTGTGATTACGTACATATACATAAATGGTGAGGATCAAGTGTCAGTTACAAGATGAAGAAATGTCTTCCAACTCCCTCTCCTCCCCGATATATTCTAGATTACAGCTATGTTTCGGCCTTTTAAAAGTTCTCTGTGTAATACCCGCACAATTTCGTACAGGCTTCTATTCTTGTAACTGTGTAACTTTATGGAAAGATAACTTCGCTGGCAAATTCCTCACATAATTTCTTCAATTTAATCTATTAGACTATTTCCAGAGGGCAAAGGGTTTTGGTAGAGACTTCAAATTCCCCTTGTCCAGCTTATTGTATTTAAATGTCTAGAGTATTAAATATTAGCTACGCTGAGGTCTGTCGATCCCGTGGGGCCAATCAACTAGTCTTTTCTATGGTGGTACTGGGAGAGCGATTCTATCAGGCAATTACAGATCAAATCAGAGCAAACCATGGAAATTCCCAAAGGGACTAGTTACAACTAGTTGGATAATTGTTCGCCCCCATCTTTAAGACCTTTTTTCTTCTTCAACGCTGCACGCCATTTCCGCCGAGATATTTTAATCATTTGGTGCCCAATATCTCAAAGACATGTCTTTCATGACAAACATTACATGATACATGTAGGTATGGAAATATACACGTATAAAAGAAATAGAACTAAAGTTGCATATGCAGTTCATAAGGACACCCGAGAAAAAACAAGATGTAGCCTGCCCTTTGCGTAAGCAGAAAATAAGCTACTCCATCATTTCTTCGAATTCCCTTCTCTTTCATTCCTTCATTCTTCCTTTTTCTGTCTTTATTCTTTTCCTCCCTGCCGTAATCCTACGAAGGTTCTCAATCGTGATCATGCATTGCATTGAACATATCAAGAAGTATAACATTACCCACCTTGTGGTGTTCTAGAGCTCTGCCAACTCGCCATGTCCGTGCTCGTGCCTCTGCAGACTTCCCCGGGCCGTGTGGAATGTCTGAGGCGGCGAACACGCAGCCTAGCGCCGTTAACAGCAGGACCAGAGGCCGGGGCCTCACCATGCTGATCTTCTGCCACAGAATCTTTGACAATTGATAAAACCTGAAACAATTGAAGAATATTTGACGTCACTCTGTCCTGTTTATGTAGAATCTGTTTGAGTAGTTAGAAGGGTCGACTGCAGTTTTGAAACGTGCTATCAAAAGACCTCTTAGATTAAGATCTTTGACAGATTTTCTGGACGATCCAGTCGCCACTCAACCACTATTCGATTAGCACACGTTTCTGAAGTGTTGCACAGGGTGTTATTCAGTCTGTTTGAACTGTATCCATTTGCATTTATATAATACCAAAGATTGTACTAGTGGGTGTACGCACGCAATTCTAGCAATCAGCCACACAAAGTCCTCTAAATGTATTTTACTCACTCCTATGTGATTAGGTCTGGCTATTCAACTTCACAAATGCGGGTTATTTACGATCAAAGGGGTGATATTCGCTGTGAAACTCAGGTCTACGAGAGGCCAACGGACTTTAAAACATTGTAACGTTAATCTGTTTAATCAAGGATCAATCGATTATAGGATATTATCCATCTGTTTATCTAATTCAGATGCGTTACATCAAAAGAAACAGGTACATGTACGTAACAAGGATGAACAAGATCAACCCTATTCTTTCCTCATACTAATACAAAATCGCTGTCAGTAACAAATGTTGGTGGAGGAAAAGGAGAAAGGTCTAGTTTGTTGTAAAGGAAAAGAGGGCTTCGAATTCCCGCAATGGCTTGGACAGACCAAGTGTTGGGTTCACAAGTTCGACTGTTTGGCACCGTTCCTTGCGCGGTTGCGACTGAATTCCGGGGTGATGTGCATATACGGAGCTTGTTGCCACATAAACGTCCTTTTAGTAGCTTGCAGAAAGTTTTTGTCATCCCGATTGCTATAGAAAGGATGACTCGTTCTTGGGAATATTTGGACAGTATCCAAATCAACACCATCCAACAGGTTAGTCTACGCCATAGATGCATCTTCAGGCCTTGCGGTAAACAAACGATCGTTCCTACCGGTCTAAACCACAATCTACACTCAAGGCAGCGAAAATAATCAATTATGTCCGAGGCATTAGATAAACAACAAATGACAAATTCTGTCCTTCATTGTAGACTCAGTAGAATAATACTAGCGCAAAAGCTTGGCACAGAGAATTCTCTAGCTCAAATTCGTGAGTACTAGTAAGGGCAGACGGATTTTCTTTGAAGTTCAATTTTAAAAATGTAAGAGCCTTAGAATCATTACTAGTATATTGTTCTGACATAAAACATCAATTCAGTGCATGACAAACATCCTACAGTGTGAACAAGTACGAATATCTCCGTGCAATTCCGTCTCTGAAGACGTGAAGGAGTTGATGGAAGAACGACTTACCGGACTGTTGAGAACGGAATCTCGCCGACAGTCTGAGCCCGCAGGTAACTTGTAAAGGACTAACAACACAAGGGAACAGCTGGTTTTCTCCCTCGGTCTCTTGCGTCCGTTCTCTCTGTGTGTATCCACAGGAGACGTTATACAACCCACACAGACCGGACGACCAGAACTTACGGGCTTATCTTTTCATCGTTGCCGTCAGAATCTGCTCTTAATGGTTGTATCATCTTGTCAACTTTGTTTCGCCTGAGGGCCGAAACGTTTTGAGGGTCAAATTGTCAATGAGTGCACGTGATGAAAGTGTTTTGTGAACAAATGAACGAAAACCAATTATTGTCTCACAGTTCACGGCGTCAACCCCAGGGGACCAAATAAAGGCAAAACCTCAGCGATTGTTAGAAATAATTTATCCCAGAAGGCAGATGACGCCAAAGACTTTAACCACAATGGAGGTAGTTTAGATAACTTTAAAGTGCCGAACTAAACCAGGGAGTAGAGTCCCCTGATCTCGTTGGAATAGAACCGGTACCACCCTGCCATTGTGATGAAAACTTTTGATGAACAAAACGGTTGAAAGTGGTAATTCTACTGACGCCAAATCAACTATGCAAAAATATCCATTACCCTGCAGCACCATGTATATGTAGAATGCATCGGTAGCATACTTTAAGACATCATGAAATCAGTTCCTGATAAAGCCCCCATTAGACGTTTAACGGCTTAACTAGTTTTCCTTTGAACCTGTGTCGATATAAGCGTTTTCTTTAGAATATATTTTAACTGGAAATGAAGGAAGAACGTGAAAAAGTGAAATTGAAAGTTCTTGTAGTAAGCTTTGGAATTTAATAAAATAGTATATATACCCTCGATTGAAGACGGTCACTTAAACTTTCTTTTGAACGTTTGAATCACACTTCTTATTTGACAGGAATGGACTGGCTCAGCGAAGAACTTAGTTCTCTATCAAACTGTACATTTTATGTTCAGAGTTGTATTTCTTATGCCCGAGACAACAGATAAACATGTTAAAATGTTCTTTCCGTAAAGTTTTCATTTATTCCTGGCTCCGCTGTGTTGCTGTGTAAAGTGTCTGTACGTACCTGCATCCTTATTTAAGACCTTACATGCACCAATTGCAAAGCTCCCTTTCAAATCATCCCTTTTCCATGCATCCCAGGGCACACTATCATTACATGATTCCCTATTGGTTTCGCCTTCGGAGCAGGAATTGACGTATTCAACTGACATTTGTGTACAACAACGTCACGGGGTGGATTGAATGTAGTAATTGGTACATCTATATCTATGTAGGTGGTTTTTACATAAGGCCACACCGACTTGATTTTATGGATGACATCCTCTGAAGACCCCGAAACTAGTGCGCACGGGCGAAAAAAAGAAAAATCGGGCCAAAAATAAAAATGGTACTAAACCACAGGAATACAAAGCCGGTATTGTGAATTTGGCGCATTACATACCGACGTATACGACAGGCCTGCACATGCTGGATTTTTGCAGAATTTATGAATCGACACTGTACGTATGTACTAAGTTCTTGAGTCGTGGAGCTTCGGTAGCCGGGGTTCCGTCGCTGACCGCCATGAAGACGTGATCTTTTTTTTTTTTGGAGATCAGGCGAAAATCAATGCGCGCGCGGATGTCATCCGTAAAATTAAGTCGGTGTGGCCTAACTGTAGGCGTTGGTATTGTACTCCCCTCCATTGTAGAGTTTTTGTTTTAAGTTTGTCTTTGAATTAATGTTTTAAATGGGACTTTCATCCGGCACGAGACCATTGGGACATTTGGGGAGTGATTTTCCACTCCAACATCTGCTTGGAGATTAGCACGTCAACCCTAGCCCCCAGATCGTGACAACGGAAACCATTTTTCTGTAAGTACTAAACCTGATTTGATGGTGACAACATCGATAGGCCACACACGTCTTCGATAGCGTCGATTTTATTTCTAGAGAGAAGGTGATAAACGTTTTACAAGAATTTTGATCTACAAGACGATACTACCTCTGTTAAGACGAATAGAAAGCCGAGAAGGGTTTAGAAAACTGGTTGACATATCTTCAGATCCTCTGCCCTGCCGCAGAGGTCAAATGGTGAGACAGAGAGATCGACAAGAAAAGATAAAGAGACTACCTCTGTACTATGATCTCGCATCATTATACTTGGACATACTGGCAAAAATTGCACTGATCATGATATGAAGTAAAAATATGGCTGATTAACTATGAGTTTAACCTCCTTGGATGAACATAGATAAACATGCACGCCGTTACAATCACACAGAACTAACTTTTATTCGCCATGTCGGATTTGTCGTGGATTAAGACTTACCGTTGTTGCTACAGTATTTTTTCATTGTTTTCATGATCACGCGCGAAACATTCCGTAACATTACATCGCGGGTAACAGAAAAGAAACACAATAAGTCAAAAGCTTAACAAGAAACAAAACGTAACGTACACCATTACTGAAGCTTGAAAATGGAATTGTCCTAAGCATCTAATAATTGCAGAACATTACAAATATTTCCAGGTCGAATTATTTCCTGGTTTTGGGTGTCTGAGTTGTGTTTAAGGCGCAACTGCGTGGAGGGTGGTAGGTAATTTTGACAGGAGCTTGATAGGGTGGTCAAGCCTTGGGTGATCACCCTACCAATAAGCCCACTTAATTAGTCCCACTCGTCCACTTACTCCCACGCACCGGGAGGGTGTTTGTGGGCGGTGTGGGAGAGAATCAGAAAATGGTGTAATATAATAACCAATTAAATTACATTGTATAACCCCCTCAAAACTTCCCATGCATTCACGTAAACGCACAAACGAAAACTTTCCAGCGGCCTGTGAACTTGAAATGCAAAAAAAACTCAAAATACAGCAGTCTGATTCCTTCGACTTGGTGTTTGTCTATGCACTAATAGGAGCCGGTCCAGTTTTGGACTGAGGGGAATAAGCAGGAGGCTGCTCCATGGGTATGGTTGATGTCGGGCCGGGTCTTCCGCCAACGCTGCCTTTCTTGAAATGCTAGAAAAGAAAAGAAAAGTTTGGACATTGTTGCAGTTCTCAAACGCCATGTCGTCTGCTTAGATATTCTACAAAGAAGCTAGAATAGAAAATAAAACGTTCCAGGGCAAGCACGGAAATGAACAGTCCGCAAACCGAGAGAAGTCAATATTGTTTAAAAATTTCTATATTGTGGTTTGTCGTGAAAAAAGAACTGCTGAATACCATTATGATTTATTGCTGCCAAACAACGAGGTGTCTCAAAAGTAGTCTCAGAAATCACCTTGACTGCGAAGTAAACAGCCACTCCTGTGAAAATGAGAAAGGCGACAATCCCGATGACGATTCCGGTCAGTGCCCACATGGTCATTCCGAGTTCCGGAATCCATTCTGATTCCGGTTCCGGTTCAGATTCCGGCTCTGGTTCAGATTCCGGTTCCGGTTCCCCTTCCGGTTCTGCTTCGCCGCTGTCTGATACGCCTCCAGCTGGAATATGACGTCAAGAAATCTTTATATGTTTTCAAATGTTGGTCATCATAAGAAAAACATCAACACAGTCGCATTTCTTTCACGAAAGATATCTTAGAAATGATATTAAAAGTTCTCTATCTTTTTAGACTGATGCATTTCTATTCGTGCGATGTACTTGACATTTCTTCCAACTGCGTTGCCCTACCATGCATGATGACATGCACTGCCAATTGACCCCGCCAGGGGGCAATGAATGGCTCAATCTGTTCGTTTTTTTCTCAGAAGGCTCTGATAAGTACAATTTAGAAGCAGGGAACGACTAAAATGGATCACTTACCTTCACACCCGTCGGGTTCATCCGCACTCCCCGGACAGTTACAGTATCCGTCCTGACGTAACTCCGACCGGATACACTTCCCGTCATCACACCGGAAGTCATCACTCTCCTGGCATGCATCACCTGTGAATGTTTGACCAAATCATGGAATGGAATGTTTGATACCATGATCATGGTAATACAAATGTATACTAATAATAACCAAATGATGACGTAAAGGCTTTTTCAAACTTTCCTTCCTATTAGAAAAACAGAAATGGCCAAATCCAGTGACGTAACTGGTTACAAAGCTTTAAAAAGTTATGGCGCTTGGAGCATAAGACAGAGTATAAACTTTTTTTGTTGCATTGTTCTATTTTATTCATGCATTTAGTCAGATTCACAGCATGCAGAATGAATATTCTGAGGGAAGCCGGCAAGAGTCTTGAGCTGTATGTTCGTCTTATAACTAATAACTATAGTAATATCCTAACCAATAAATTGGTTTTCACCGCTGAATACCTTCGGAGTCGTAGAACATCGTGTACTGGATCCTGAAATCGCCACTCGCCGAGTCACCCGAAGTTAGCCGAAGAGTGACGACGTTGGACGAAGTGGTGACGTCTTCCTGTTCGTTTCCGCACACCGATGCCAGCAAGTCACCAGAAGCTGTAGTCACAGGTTAACATAATGGATTACTATAGCTATATACTAAATAATGAATTACAAAGAAGGGGTGCATTTTTTCTGACTGTATCATACCGACAGTTTTAATACCGATTCAAGCTGTAGCATTGCTGATATATTCTTCCCATACTCACACAACTGTGTTTTCTTCATTCAGTCATTTTTCCTATGTCATATTTCTCTGTCTTTCTGATTCGTTCTTTCCATTCTGTACCTTTCAATCATTCGCTCTTTCTGTGAGCACATATATACCATGTCAAGACGTTGAACTTCAGTATTTTTCAAACTTTACATGCTATAGCGCTATATAGCTATTTGGTGGTCAAATACAAAAGAGAATGGCTTTTTCAAGGACTACTGCCTGGTTTCTTTCAAGAAATAGTGATGGAGATAACGACCTTGTTCGCCATCGTAGATCCGTAACTCTTGATCATCACAGGTGTCATCAGGTCCCAGGTCAAGGGTCACGAAGTGGAGCAGGAATTTCTTGCCTGATACTCCGGTGAATGTCGCGGTACAGTCCTGCCCGGGCTCGTACGAGTACGATAGAAACGCAGCTTCGGTGTTACTCAGGTCAACAGTACCGCCACATTCCATTGAAACTTTAGTAGAGGAGGTAAATGGAAAACAGTGTGTTCAATACTTGCATGCAATATAATTTCAGAGCGGTAAAACAAAAACCATATTCTGGATGAGTAAATCTGACTGATATTGCCAGACTGCCATTTCGTTTCACATTTTTGGCATCATTTCATACGTGATCAAGTAAACGAAGCATTGAAGCATTTGAAATAGCCTAGAAATAATCTACGTGAGGCGTCTCTTTATTTTAGGTACAGCCCGTAAGTGGCTAGAACCAACCTAGGATACAAAACAAGCTAAGCAATCGTTTACCGTCAGCGACCGTCGATGGTATTTGTGCCTCACAAATATCAGTGTGCTATAGGATAGGATTGGTTTCACCTACTACATCAAAAGAATGACAAAAAAATTGACTCCAAAAATTCAGTTCTGTCGCACTGAAATCACGTTGGATGCCTTCAATTCCTGAAACATAATCTGTCGTTTATAGTTGGCTTTCACTTCAGTTTGCTGTCTTTCGTCAATGAAGCATAATATCTAATCATATAACGCGAATCTTCGTTTCTTTTTATAGACTTTAATCTGGATTCCTCTGAAGAATCTCTCCTAATCCCAGTTAAAACGCTAAACGTCTAGCTAATCAAGTCTCGTGCATTTTGACAGAACACTTCATCGACAATACCATGTGTTTCCCTAAACGTATTGTGTCATTACATGTAAACAAGAAAACAGACACTGAAACATTGAATACAAAAAAAGCTGCTGACAATGGAAGATACTGAAGCTTCTTGCAAAACCATGTTCGTGGTGCTAGAAGTATGATATATTCAACTACTAACTCTTTCAAGTGATAACGACCCTGGTGAACACGAACTTTGCCGAACTTTCCTACGTGTGATGTTGACGTATCTCGCCAACTGATAAGGAACATTTGAAGATAACATAACTCACAGGTTTGGTAAGTTTCTCCGTGCGTCATTGGGGGCAAGGCAGTCAGCGCTACCACGCAGTAAAATCCCCACTGCAGCACACCAATCCTTTCCCCCATGGCTACGTTCCAGTAATGTTCGTCACAAGAACTGTTAAGATATCTATCGCACAGGTTTAATGATCGAATACTGCGGTCTTCCTGCCTGTTAGTAGCTCCAACAGAGCATCCGATTCAAGTGGGGCTAAAATTCTCTTTGATGTAGAAATAAACGACCCCGCCACCCCTGTATATTGACGTCCAATGGACCAGTCCGCCGCAGGAGTACATGAGAGTCTGGGCTGTGCCATTTTGAATTAAGGTACGGACAGCGTCGATCCACAGTCTTTGAAGTTAGGGTTACAGTGTGAGATCCAATATCCCGCTTTCAGGTGGTGGCCGGATCGATAACAATGGTGTAAGGGCTCTTCATGGCGGCTGTAGGTCCGGAGAGCACTCGAGAAAACCCTTACGGACCCTCACCTTCCGAACTCCTGTTGTGTGAAGGTCGTGTTATGTGTCAACAAAAAAGAAACATTGGAAATGTTGATACTTGATGTTTACTTGTTGTTGTGATGTGTTGGTACCGGGCGGCACGGATACATCATGGGTGTGTCCTAACCAGGGTGAAAACAACAAGGACGACACTAGAAAAAAAGTCAAGAAGGACCATTCAAACCGGATATTCAGCTGTATTTACAAACCTACGACAAGATGCATCGCTAATATATGGTTCAAAGACCTGGATCATACTGTCTCTAAAAACAGGTTCATGTGTGTCAGATAGCATCCACTATCTTTCATCAGTGACTGAGAATGAGTCAGTAGCTGATTAAAGATTGCGGATGCTATCTGAAACGTCTGACCTTATAGACCTTAGCTTATCCAGTCGTTTGAATTATTTCGTCTAATGGAGTATTCTACTAGAGAAATCTAGCCTTCATCACTGTATCTTTAATAGCACGTAAATGCAGGTTTGCTAGAGCAAAGTGTAAGGTTTGTTCTTGTATTCTGTGAGCGATGAAACGTTAAAAGGTGTTCTGGTACGACTTTTCAGTGGAGTGAGATTAATGTTTCATGTGCTGACTAACACAGACGTGGTGCACGTCTCCAAGCAGATGTGTGTGGCTTCGGTGCTCTTTTTGTACATGACGCCTTGCCAGCTGCCTGGATGTACTTTGTACTAAAGTATACTACAGGTGTTTATATTTACAGATAGCAGGAGTGCAAGTTATATTATTTGGACGAAGCGAAAATATACACTTTGAATGTAGTATTCGACAGAGGTGGATACATACGACATATACCAATCGCAAGGCAGGAGTTTCTTTAACCAAGACAAACAATTGTTCAACACTATTGTCTATAGTGTGCTCCTTTTGGTTTTAATTGGATACAGCACCAGATGTAACGTACTTTCTGTAACCTAAAGCTAAACTGTTTCCAACAGACTGTTTTCCACCACTTCCTCCCCCACATTAACAGAGTGCAGCCCCGTACCTCCCACCGCCTGTGAGGAAACCCTCCCTGGTTTGTTACATTGTTTGCAGGCCACCCCCACCAAAACAATAACGATCAGTCCCCCAATACATATCCCCGCGATGTCCCCGCCGCTGAGATGGATCACGAATTTTCCCGAGGTGTTTGGGTCTTCGGCATTCTTCGGCTCTTCGCTCGTATTTTCGTCGTCATCTGTAAAGGTAGCGGGACAACCTTTAAATCAAAATTGGAAGCTGCGAGAAAAAAAAACGAATTACTTAATCTTCTTTCAAAATACAAGGTGTATTCCATTATGTGATGTACTTTCCACAATCAAGAACATTCCAAAAGTAACAATACCGTTTTCTCGTCTGAATCGCCTTTTGTTTTGCGGTACTATGAAACTTTTTATAGGCAATCATCATAGCAAACGTAAATGATGTCGATTATCTTACCATTTGCACCTTGAATTTGCCCGTTGGAAGCTGATTCTTCCAGCAAAGCTGTAAGGTATGACAGCATAATCTCTAATTCAAGTCATGGACATGTGAGAAAAAAAAACTCATTCAATTGAGAGCATGTACTGCGGTGACCTTCAAAATACTTTCAACCTTTGAAATACGGTCCTTTACAGGTCTTGTCTTTTTAGCGCATGCGTACTCTAACATAAAACCCACCGGAGCCATCCTCGTCCTCTCCATCCGGGCAATTCTCGTGCCCATCGTTCACCAGATCTCCCGGCATGCACCTGCCATCAGTGCATGTGCTGTAGTTACCATTCGTTGGACACGAACCTAGAAAAATTATGACAGAAAACTTTGAAATATACGGAAGACCAATAAGTCCCATACTATTTTTAAAAAGCTTGGATAACTTAATAGAACAAATTCCTGACGGATGATTATTATGTAGCAGATTTGAGTAATACCTTAAATGCAATAACTCCTACAATGCAAAATAGGTAAATATATATTAAAAATTACAGCTTTGTTATTAGAAAAATACTGAAACTCATACCTAGCCCGACTCAATTGTAACGCTATTGTTTTATTAATTAGGATGTTAACTTTTATTGTTCTATACGTCTTCTTTGTACTATGTTCATTAGCTGTTGCCATTAATTGTACGTGCAATAAAGTTCTTCTTCTTCTTCACACGTAGTAATTAGCTAACTAACCTGCCACTGAATCCACAAAGACGCTGTACAGAATCCTAAAACTGCCGTTCCCGCTGTTATCTGACGTCATCACCAACACCATCTGTTGTCCGCTGGACAGGACCTCAGGTGGGACGTCACTGCCGCAAACCGTCGCAAGGACCATGCCCTGCTCGAACGTGCCGTCGTAAATCGAGAGGGAGTCGATGCACCGTCTGCTGTTGGTGGACTCGATGTTCAGGTCCAGGAACCTTAGGGAGATGCGGCTGTTTTCGAGCTCGCTGACAATCTGGGGATTCAAAAGAACCCATTATATGTCAGTATAGGAAACAACACAAAAGTTAATACAAAACCACATTTAGAACTGAAACTTTTGACAGGAATTTTCTGTTATTGACAGGACCATCCTGCAGATAGTGCAAAATATTCTGTTATTCACAGGATGATTGTGTCAATTCTTGCCATTCTATTCCTTTTTGAAATAGAGGGAAAAGAAGGGGAAGTATTATAACAATGCTTCAGACAGGTACATGTGTAAATTCCGACTGTTTTAAAAGACTACATCTGCTGTAAACCAATGATTAGCCAGGAGTGTTACAACCCAAGCAATTGTTACATTACCACATGATATATAAAAAAAAAAAGACTGTAACGTTTTCTGACAGCCGAACTTCTCTAGTCAATGAAACCCCCAGCAGACAACGTTACGTTCTTGTTAGACATTCCGGACCCATACATCTGCTTGGAGATTACTCAAAAGGGGATGATGGTGATTTATTGAAAATCTTATACCTGATAAAGCGAG